GAGCAGCTATAGCTGCAGGAGCCACTTCCAAGGTAAGATGACTTGGTCACTCACGTACCTGGCTCCTTGGTGGGCAAGACCAGCAGGCTGAACTCAGCCAGCACTGCCACTTGGCAGGCCTCCGAGCGGTCAGACTTCTTACCTGGGCAGGAAGACCATGCGCCAAAGCAGCAAACAATGGCCTTTGAGGACCAGGCCTTCAAAGACTCCTGTCATCACTCTGCCTTACCCTATTGTTCTAAGCAGTCACAGGGGTCTTACTGCTTCAAGAAGAGGAGGACACAGATTCCATCTCTCAATATAAGAGCCCGAAAGTTTGAGACCATGTGTTAAAACTGCCATCAGAAGGATGAGATTAAACACAAGAGGACAGATGGGAGACTTTAATAGGGTTCCATGGATCTCAGAAACCAAATGAATATTAAGCTAAGGAGGAAGGAAGCCTCCAAGATGAATCTTGACATTGAAATTTCCCACCTTAGATATTGGTGGTAGTGATTGGGAAGGTGGGCTGGAGTTAAACACCAGCACCGCGCGGTATATTTGCAGTTTGATCATAGACAAGTTTCTTAATCTCTCTGTGCTCCACTTACCTGTTATTCCATTTTACTAGATATAATAAGCTACTTGTAAGAGTTGGTGAGGATTCTAGTAAAGATATGTAAAAGAAGCTGGACGTGGTGGCACCTGACAGCTTCTTTTGCATACCTTAACTAGAATCCTCATCCCAGCTATTTGGGAAGTTGAGGCAGCAGGATAGTACATTTGAAGCTCACCTGGGCCACTTAGTGAACCCTGTCACATAATAATAAAAAAAGACATAAATTTCCTAGTACAGCACCAGGCACACATTCACACTCCAAGTCTTAGCTATTACTGTTTACAAAACACATGCACATGCATTATCTCATTTATTCCTCACTAGGACCGTCTGATGTAACTTTTCACATTATCGTCATTTAACAGATAAAGAGCAATGACCCTAAGAGGTCAGGTAACATTTTGAAAAGTCACACAGCTGGGAAGTGACAGACTCTCAAACCTGCTTTCTTGCTTCCAGAGACTCAGCTCTTCCCACGGCTGCACAGCTGCTCCCCAAACAGGAGCATGCTCAGGACCACTCCTGGGCCCACCCACACTGTGGAATCAGCTTCCTGGCAAAGCCACTGTGTTTCTAGCACTGATGCCGTCCTCCTGGGAGACGCAGCGGCACCTGCCTCTGCCTTCGCCCACCACCGGCATGTCTGAAATTTACTAGAAGCAAGATGCCGACAACTGTGACAGCAGGTGTGACGCCCGTGGGCATCCAGCCTCCCTGCCTGAGATCTTCAGGCTGCTGCCTTTGCTCTGGAATGGGAGTGGGGTGGGAAGCAAGCAAGGCCCAGCAGATCTCAGGACTGGACACAGACATTCCTTTGGGACCAGTACCAGTTCAGATGCCAGGTCCAGAGGTGCCTGCCCAAGACAGCTGTGGGAGAATGCTGAATAAGGATGGGCCTGCCTTTCCCATGACCCCTAGGGCCCCTCTCATTTCCTGGACACCCCTATTCAGCTGAGCCGTAGCTCCTCCCTATCTCACCCTGCTGCATTTTTTTTCTATCTGGGGGGCTCAAAAATCAAACAAGGAAATACTCAAAACAGTGACACATTTCCTTTGACTCCTTGAACAGTTTAAAACATGGACACATCTGGGAGAATATTCATCTTCAGACCCTGCAATAGTCCGGAAAGGAATAACAATGTCCGCTGCTTTCTGTTAAAGGTCACCCTCTAGGCTCTGAGGAATTTTTCCTGAATTACAAAAGAGGGACAGATCAAATGCCTGTCATAACACACTCAGAAAACAAGGAGCAACCAGAAGTTCCCATTCATCTAAGGAATCTTTGAAAATCCTGCCTTGGGTGGGGCGACATTTGCTAACAATAAAAACAGTTCACTTGGCAGTCAGCCCTGGGTAGAGCCAAAGCTAACCAGCCCAACTGTCCCTCCAGGACTGTGTCTCACCTCTCAAGACTTCCAGGAAGTTCCTGAGAACGTCTGGAACTATGTCCCAGCTTTGGAGTGTCACAGCCCATACCTCCATCCCTGTTTCCCCTGCACCCACGTCACAAGGGAATTTTCCTCTGAAATCCAGTGGGGCTGTTTCACCTTTCCCCACAGTTAAGCTGACCAGAGTCAGACTAGGCCAAAGTCATCAGGCAGAACGACTCACATATTTATGTGACTCCTACTGGTTCCTTGGCTTCCTGCCTAGTGCAGATTCTGAGTGATGGGATACTGTATGGCAAAACCAAACATATTCCTATCAACCACGCAGCCACAGGGCTATTTCCAGGTGCACTCGTCTTCTTTGCATGGGTTTGTTAAAAAGCACTAAAAGAACAGTTGTCATACGACTTCAAAGTCATTTGCTAAATCCTTTTTGTAATCAACATTTTGCAATTTCCACAATACTTCTTGTAGAGGTGGTAGGGAATTTCATTTTCTCTTTCTTCTCTGAAAATATGATTGTGACTTAAAAAAAAAATTGGTGACCCTGAAATATAATCTAGGACTAAGTGGTATAGAATTACTACACGTTTTTGTTTTGGGTGAAATCGCTGGCAATAGTTGTTGGAAGCAAGCTGAAGAAACCTTCTGCCTGGCATTGTGTAGTGAGGACACCCTTTATACGTTCACTGAATTCTTTTAATAACTCCAGCAGCTTTGGTGTGACTGGTGTGAGGAGACATGTGAGCATGACGTACAAACTACCCTGTGGCCTGGGAAGACAAATGTCACATGCGTTAGGAAACAAACGCACTCAGTTGTCTTCTTTTCCTCCCTTTGTAACAGCGCTTCTCTGTAACCAAAGATTTGTCCTAGTTATTTAAACAGTCATTTTCATTTGACTATTAAATAATCTTCCTAGGATCATGACTTCAAAAATGAGATAAGGAAACCCTACATCTGTCAATTTACTAATTTTAAAGCACGTTCAAATCAACTGTTGTGTCTTTTCTTGGTCCATAATACCATCTGCGACTTGGGCAGAGCTGCTGCAATTGTTGTTGCTTCATGAACTGGAAAACTGATGTTTATAAAGACAACATGACCTGCTCCAAGCCCTGCCTTGGTGTTACAGATTCGCCAGCATTTGGTTGTGTTGGGTCCAAGCTGTCTTCCCAGTGATTCTTGGGATTTTTAAAATTTCCCGAGAGGGGATGACTGTTAGATGATGGGAGACAAAACGTCTCCAAGTCCATAATCGTTTTATGTCAGACACACATTCACACCACACACACTCCACATAAATTGCTGAAATGTTTTGCCTATGCATGTTTTTTTTGGGGGGGGGAGCGGTAAACTGAGAGTATAAGTGCTTATTATAAGAGGAATATTGTTCTGTGACGTGATGCGATGGTTGAAGCTTCTTGTGGCGAGGTGTGCTTTGTGTACACAATGTACACAAACTTGATTGTGTACAATTCAAACTTGAGGCCCCCATGATCACTTTTACATTTGATTTTTTTTTTTTTTTTACAGTAGGGGGAATAGAACCCAGGGCTTTGTGCATGCTTAGCAAATACTCTACCACTAAGCTACATCCCCAGCCTCGAATTTGATAATTTGCTAAGACTCCAGAATCATCAAATCTCTTACAGTCACTATTAAAATTTATTATAGTAAAAGGATAAGATTAAAACAGCAAGGACATGGGCTGGGCCCACAGGAGTTTCAAGCATGAGCTTCCAGTTGTCTCTCCCAGTAGAATCATGGACAGCGCTAACTTCTCTCAGAAAGAATATATGACAATATGCATGGAGTGTTGCCAGTCAGGGACCTGAGCCTTGACATCCAGAGTTTTAACTGTTATCTTTGTTATATAGACATGGCTGATTACCTATGTGATGATTTTAGTCCCCAGCCCCTCCTGAAGCCAAGCTAACACCATGTGGCCCAAGACCCCCACTATAAACATCATATGTGTAGAATAGACTTTCTGGCATGGCCCAAGGCCCCTGGTAAATAAGACACTCTTACCAGGCAGGGAATTCCAAGATTTTAGAATTTACTTCACAGGAGCGAAGGGCAAAGACCAGCCTCTTTTACTGCACAAACATGTACTGGAGTTACAGAAGCCTAATAAAACAAAATGGAGGAAACTAGGCAGGCAGACAGACATCTAATAGGGATTTTCCTATTGTCCTTCCGGCTCAGTGATACTTCAGAATTACTAGACATGAAACCGCATACTGGACATCGTGGGCTATATAAGAGAGTTTCAAGGGAATTTCAACTATAAAGTTTGACTTTTAAAAATTATTTTCTCACTAACCCCTGTTCCCACCACAGCTAAATATCTAAGCTGCTCTGCTACTACTATCACAAAGAAAAAAAAAAGTAGGTAAACAACCCCCCCTCAAAAATAAATTATTTTAATAGAAGAACAAAATCTAGAAATTCAGTTTCTGTTATTGCTACAATTAATTTTCTAGCCGTGAAAACTGTGTTAGGTTGTAAGATTCTTTTGCTTATGATTGTGAAACACAGAGCCAGGAATGTTGGGGACTATTTTTGGAGTGTCTCCTTCTAGTGTAAAGTTGACTCAACAATGAGGAAATTATGTGACCTATAAGATGACTTAACAGTAAAATACAGCCTCTGTGTCCATGGGTCTGCATCCATGAAGTCATCCGACCATGGATCAAAAATGTTTGAAAAAAAATTGCATCTATAAGGAAGAGACTTTATTTTCTTCTCATTATTCCCTAAATAATTCAGCATAATGGCTATTTACATAGCACTTACCTTGTATTAGGTATTATAAGCAACCTAGAGATAATTTGCATAGGTTATATGCAAATACTCTGCCACTTTATATGAGGGACTTGAGCATCTGTAGATTTTGTTGTCTGTGGGAGTTCGAGAACCAACCCCTCCCCCCTGGTAGACACCAGGAATGACAATTTTAAGCTTTTAAATCTACAGAACTTTAAAAAAAAAAATAGAAGACAGAGTAATTGGAGGAAATTTTTATAATAAAGAAATTAATACAAGTAAAAAGCAACATGTTTTCTCTGTCACAAAAGCTATCTTTGACATTGGTGGGTACATACCAGCACTGGGGGCTCTGTCTTCATGTTGAAATATTGCAGATCATCTTATATAATTCATCAACCAAAAGCATTCCATCTGTGAATCTTAATAAGTTGGCAATGAATTTCGGTGGTGGAAAGCTGGCGTTTTTACCTCCTCTCTTACATCTTGATTTATGGCATGCCCTCTGCGGGGGCCATGCCCCAGCACAGCAATTCTAATGGTTTCATGTAGCCTGTCATGAACACAATTACCCAACAAAATATCCTATTACCAATAAGCATAGATTTTGGGTATGACACATTAGCAATAGATCTTGCAAATCTGCTTTTTTAAAAAAACCTTTTTGCACAGTAGATAGGATCAATAATTTCCAGACTTTAGGATTTCACAGACTAGATAAATTAGCATACTTTTTGAAGGAACTGACATAGAGTTGTCAAATATTTTCTTTCGCCAAATAAAGACACTGTGAGGGGAAAAAAAATCTCCTAGAACATTATCTAAAACATTTCACAAAAGAACAATTTTTCAGTTAACACTCAGGTTAATCAATTACTGATTTATTTGCCTTGTTTTTCTGTTTATATCCTACTTTTTCTGTCTAGATTTGACATCAGTCTTTTAAATGACATCTTTTAGTAGTTATTTCAATGAAGATTTGTGGGCAGATAACTCTGTTAGTCATGGAGATAGACTCACGGAGTGAATAACCATGGACTCTGGAGCCAAATGCCTGGGCCTGAGTCCCAATTTGGCCACATGCAAGTTGTGTGACCTTGAACAAATATTTAAATACTTAACCTCCCTGTATCTTGGTTTCATTATCTCTAAGATGGTAATATTGTAGTATCTACATCAGAGGGTTGTCATGGGGATTATGAGTTAAAATATATAAAGTATGTAAAATAGTGCCTTGTATATAATTGTATTATATATAAATGCTTAATATTATAATTAATCTGTGCATGTTTGAAATGTTCATATTTGCTTCCATTCTTGAATTATAGTTTAGTTTGTCAGGAAATTCAGTGTTGGCCATTATTATCTTCATTACTTTTGATATCACTCCATTGTCTTCTTGCATCTATTTGTGTGGATAAAGAGTCTGCTATCGTGATTATCTTTCCTTTATAAATAAGAATCTCTTTTATTTCTGATTTGTCTTAAAGGTGTTTCTCTTTACATTTGATGCTCAGTGGTTTTACTCTGTGTGTCTATGTGAGGATCTAATTTTATTTTATTTTTTTAGTTCAATATTCAGATTACTCCGGAAAGACCTAAAGACTCATATCTTTCTTTGATCCTAGAAAATTCTCAGTCATTGTATAATTTAGGACTAGTTTCGACTGTAAGTGACTTTTAAAAAAGCTAAATCAGAGTGGTTTATATGAGATAGAAGTTTTTTTTTTTACACAAATTATGTCATCCAGTGGTGTGCGATGATGTCAGGGGCTCAAGGAAACTTCTATTTATTTTCAGGAAGCTAGTTAAAACCTTAAATCATCACATCTGCATTTCAGCTACCAGAAAGGAAAAACTAGAGAGAAGGATCCACATTGCGCATGTTGTTCTGGTTATATCCCAGGACCATAATATGTCAACCCAGCTTCAAGGGAAGCTAGGAAATGTTGTCTTTATTCTGGTTAGACAAATTTCCAGCTAAAGATAGGTAATTCTATTAATAAGGAAGAAGGGGAGACTGGCTACTGGGGAATAAGTAGTAGATCTGTCACAACTATTTATTTTCAAATTTCTATTTCTCAAGTTCCCCTATTATGTCCTTCTGGAACTTTAGTACCATTCAATTCTTTTTTCTCCTCCTTCTTTTTAAAATTGCTTTTATTTTTTAAATACATGACAGCAGAATGCATCACAATTCTTATTACACACATAGAACATAATTTTTCATATCTCTGTATATAAAGTATGTTCACACCAATTCATGTCTTCATACATGTACTTTGGATAATGATGTCCATCACATTCCACCATCATTGCTAACCCCCTTCCTCCTCCATTCCCCTCCCACACCTCTTCTTCTTTCTCTCTGTCTCTTTTTGGTGGTAGTACTGGAGATAGAATTCAGAGCTTTGTGCACGCTAGAAAAGTACCTGTGGCCATCATGAGCTATGTGCATCTTCTTTTTAATATTTTATCTGTTGTATTCTGTGAGATTTCTTCATTCCTATCTCCAACTTACTGAATTCTTCATTTGTGGTTAGTCTACAGAACTGTTTTTTTAAAAAAATGGTGCATTTTTATCTTTATGTACTCCCCTATGTCTATTTCTTTATGTTGTTCTGGTTTCTCTGTATAGTTTTTATTCTTTAAAAAATTTTTTTTAGTTGTTGATGGACCTTTATTGAATCAATTTATTTATATGTGGTGCTGAAAATTGAACCCAGTGCCTCACACATACTAGGCAAGTGCTCCTCCACTGAACTACACCCCAGACCCCAGTTTTTATTCTTTTATGTCATGAGTTATTAGGTATACTTACTTTTCAGTCTATTTGTGTTCTTTTCTGCAGTTCCTGAGGTCTGAATTTTGCTAACTCCCTTCCCTGGATAGTTTTTTCCTTGCCTCTTATGTTTTTGTCCTGTTTTTGTTTTAATCCTATCATCTTGGTGTCTCATGCATGCAGGATTATACAGTGTCACTATGGGACAGCTTCATATTTGCTTGAGTTCCTTGCTGTGTTAGTCAACTTTCTGTTACTATGACAAAATACCAGAAAAAAAAACTTAAAGGGAAGGAAGATTTATGTTGTTTCACAGTTTCAGGGATTTTATTCATGGTCATTTGGCTCTGTTCTTTGGGCCTGTGACCAACATGGCAGGGAGTGCATAGTGGCAGAGTCTGCTCACCTCATGGCAGCCAGGCAGCAAAAAAAGGAGAAGAAAGGATCAGGATTCTAATATTCCTCTCAAGGGTGTACCCCAACGGCCTAACTTCTTTTACAAGGCCCTACCTCCTAAGGGTCCCACCTCTTTCTAGTAGCACCACAGGCTGGTGACCAAGCCCTTAAGACATGAGCATCTGGGGGACACTTCAGAACAAAGCATAGTACCTGTACTACTCACGAAAGCACTTTTGGACTCCACCCCTGCACACGGCTCAGTTTGGTAGAGAGGTCGCTGGGTGGTAATCAGTCAGCCCCATCCACTGATTCCCAAGGTCATGGGAGGAGATAGTCTAGGATCCTCTTCATGGCAGCAAAGCTCCTCTAGGATCCTGGCTCTATGATCGGTTCCAACTCCACAGCACATGCGGCCTCCACCCATTCCAGTTCAGGCATGAAGGTCACAGCTCCTAAATTAATCTTCTGATTCTAATTCTTCAGTTCCCTGTTCAGCTCGCATGTTTTGTTTTGTTTTTTAGTTATAGATGGACACAATACATTTATTTTGTTTATTTCTATGTGGTACTGGAGATTGAAGCCAGTGCCTCATACGTACCAGTAGAGTTGTCTACCCCATAACTCCAGCCTCTACCTTGCCTTTTTTTTTTTTTTTTTGGTACCAGGTATTGAACTCAGGGGCACTTGACCAATGAGTCACACCCCCATCCCTATTTTGTATTTTATTTAGAGATAGGGTCTCACTGAGTTGCTTAGCCCTTCGCCCTTACTGAGGCTGGCTTTGAACTCAAGATCCTTCTATCTCAGCCTCCAGAGTCACTGGGATTACAGGTGTGTGTCACCATGCCAGGTGCCTAGACTCGCTTTTTGATCACTGTTTTTTTTTTTTTTTTTACATGTTTCTCACTTCTGACCTGAGTGATTTAATTTGTTTTAGTATTTAGCTGTATACATTTTAGTGTTTTTGTTACATTTTATACAGTATTTACTTATCTATTAGGAATGATGGGTTTTCCCCACATTCATTTAGTCCATCATAGTGATAATAAGTCCAATAGAACATTTTAAATCCCCAAAAGCAGTAAAATTAGTCTCTCAAAAAAAATATTGAAATTATTTGTTTTGATACTTCTTGCATTGACCTTGTATTTTCATTTGTAATGGGCTAGCATTTTCCTGTGGGTTGACATCTGTGAGTTAATGAACTAGACTGGGCACTGAGAAACTCTGGTTCTGGTCCTAGCTCTGTTAACTACACAGTTGGAAAGAAATCATTTATGCTCTCTGAGCTTATTATTAGCTGTAAAATTGGAATTCTATTATATCCCCTGCTTTATAGGATTTATTTTAAGGATCAAATGAGTTAATAAATTTGAACATAACACTTAAACCATATTACACAAGTTTTTGTTATTAACCATATTACACAATTTTTGTTATTATTAATAGCACTCTTAGGGTTGAAAAGCATTAATATATTCACTAAGGTGTTTTAAAATATTAAATTATATGGACTTTTTAAAAATAATTCAGAAAAAATCCTATATCCTTGTAAAAGCTACCATTTTATGAAAATACTTGATGAGGGAATTACACAGAGACATTCGAATATTCTTATGAAATTAAGAGCATTATTTGTAATGACAGGCAGTTATGACTTTAATATAGACTATGGAATTCATTTTGGACAGAAACACCTTTCACAGTTAAAAAAAATACAGAGAATTGAACATAGCAGTAATCACTGCATTTTGTTATTATGCATTTTCTCAAACTATGGATATTGAAAATTCAATTACTATTTTGTGAGGAGCCAGAAACATTTTTTAATATAGAAAAGATGTACTTTGCTGCACCAATTTGCAGTCCCACCAGCAGTGTATGAGTGTACCTTTCCCACCCCCAAATTCTCACCAACACTTATTGTGGTTTGTCTTCATAATAGCTGCCATTCTGATTGGAGTGAGATGAAATCTTAGAGTAGTTTTGATTTGCATTTCTCTAATTGCCAGCGATGCTGAACATTTTTTCATGTATTTGTTGATTGTACATCATCTTCTGAGAAGTGTCTGTTCAGGTCCTTGGCCTATTTATTGATTGGGTTATTCATTTTTTTGGTGTTTAGCTTTTTGAGTTCTTTATATACCCTAGAGATTAGTGCTCTATCGGATGTGTATCACACGAGGGGTAAAAATTTGCTCCCAAGATGTAGGTTCTCTATTCACCTCACAGATTGTTTCTTTTGCTGAGTAGAAACTTTTTAGTTTAAATCCATCCTGTTTATTGATACTTGATTTTAATTCTTGCACTATAGGAGTCTTATTAAGGAAGTTGGGGCCTAATCCCACATGATAGAGATTGGGGCCTACTTTTTCTTCTATTAGATGCAGGGTCTCTGGTTTTATTCCTAGGTTGTTGATATGAAAAGGATTTTGAAGATTCCTTGGAAACTGGAAATGGAACCACCACTTGACCCAGCTATCCCTCTCTTCGGTCTATACTCAAAGGACTTAAAAACAGCATACTACAGGGACACAGCCACATCAATGTTTATATCAGCACAATTCACAATAGTTAAACTGTGGAACCAAACTAGACGCCTTTCAATAGATGGATAAAAAAAAAAGTGGCATTTATACACAATGGAATATTACTCAGCAATAAAAGAGAATAAAATCATGGCATTTGCAGGTAAATGGATGGAGTTGGAGGAGATAATGTTAAGTGAAGTTAGCCAATCCCAAAAAATAAATGCTGAATGTTTTCTCTGATTTAAGGAGGCTGATTCACAGTGTGGTAGGGAGGGGGGCTTGGGTAGAATAGAAGAACTCTAGATAGGGCAGAGGGGTGAGAGGGGAATGAGGGGGCATGGGGTTAGAAATTATGGTGGAATGTGATGGTCATCATTATCCAAAGTACATGTATGAAGACATGAATTGGTGTGAATATATTTTGTATACAACCAGAGATATGAAAAAATGTGCTCTATATGTGTAATATGAATTGTAATGCTTTCCACTGTCATATATAAATTTTAAAAAATTAACAAAAAAAGAGCAAAAAAAGAAAAAAGAGAAGATATTCTTCCTGCGTGCAGTGGTGCACACCTGTACTCCCAGCAGCTTGGGAGGCTGAGGCAAGAGGATTGTGAGTTCACAGCCAGCCTCATCAACTTAGCAAGGCCCTAAGCAACTTAGTGAGGCCCTGTATTAAAATAAGAAAACATATTTTTAAAAGGAATAGGGATGTGGCTCAGAGGTTAAGCGCTCCTGGGTTCAATTTCTGGCACAATTAATAATAATTAAAAAAAAGTATTAGGGATTGGATTGTGGCTCATTGGTAGAGCACTTGCTTAGGATGTGTGAGGCACTGGGTTCAATCCCCTGCACCACATAAAAGTAAACAAAATAAAGGGATTGTGTCCATCTACAATTTAAAAAATATTTTAAAAAAAGTATTAGAAAAGATGTCCTCATATTTGAAAAGTCTGAGAACCAACCAAGGTTATGATAGTAGCTCACTGACAGGGCTGTTTGACTCCAGGTCCTCCACCTATTGCTAATGCATTCTCTAGGACAGAAAGACTGTGTCAGTCCCTAATGATAAGAATTAGTCAACCTGGAGGTCTACTGCAAAGACTGTGATATTTACTAATGGTTAAACTTAATTAAGTTTGCATATAATTTACTTAATAGAGAATTAGAGATTGACTCATGATGGCTGACTGAACATACACATGTGCTGCTTGGTGCCCCCTAAATCTCATAAAAATGCATGTAAATAAATACAGATAATAAAATCCATTTTAATAAAATTAGAAAACCAGGAAACTTATGACCAAAAAGAGTAGATTTTAAGTAAATTCTGAAATATATTATAAGAGAACAAATGTTGGGACAATCAAACTGAAGAAAACAAAAGCCCAACATATGGGCAGAGATGCCTCCTGGGAGGGGAGGTCTGACAGCTGAAGCTAAGAGTCAGTGGAGAAGGAGAGGTGGAGAGTGTTGGGGTAGCAGGGTGGGTGGGGAGGATGGATCTTCTATTCCATAGTGCTTTGATTCTCTTATCTCCGGTTCTGAAGTTTGAATCATTCTGTGCACTGAAGACTCTTGCTCTGTTTGCTTTTCTTCTTTGTATGATTTGTTATTTTTGATTGTGACCTTATTTTTAGTGGAGACTTTTTTTTTTTCCTGAGAATCACAGAAATATCTCTCTAGGGGGATTTGTATTTGCTTTTGTCGGGTACCTCAGAGATAGCACTAGCAGGATTTTTATGTTAATTTTGTGTACTCTAAGAAATCCTACATGTAAATTCATATTGCAAACTGGAATGTGGCACAAACAGGGTTTTACTTTCTCACTATCTATAGCTTCAGGTAGAGGTAAACTTTCTTGCTGTCTTGTGGAATGGAGCCTTGTATTGACAGGTCAGTTGTTCGAGAGTCTCGCTTCACACATGCTTCAACTCTCTCTCTACCTTGGAAACCATAAGGTTCTATCCCTGTTCAAATGTGGATTAAAATTTAAGTCCTGGGCTGGGGTTGTGGCTCAGTGTTAGAGCGCTCACCTAGCACGCATGAGGCACTGGGTTCAATCCTCGGCACCACATAAAAATAAAGGTTATTGTGTCCACCTACAACTAAAAAACAAATATTAAAAAAATTTAAATTACTAGCCCTTAAGACCTTTCCCCAGACTGCTTACCTTCCCCTTCCCTTCTTCCCACATCAAAGCTTTCATTCTTATTATTGCAGTTATATAGCGGTACATCTGTACCCCGAAGGTTGGAAATCTATTAAAATAAGAAAGTAGTATGCATGTATTGACAAGGAAAGAGCTTCAGGATATATATTGACACAGAAATGAGCAAATTCACTCTTTTGGAATATGAAAGTTTTACTGTTGTATGAGTTTGGCTATATATTTGTTTGTTATCCAAACCTTTTATTCAGGATTTCAAGGTGTTTGCAATAGAAGGGATTCACCATTAGTCTTAGTTTGCCATGTTGTAAGATCCAGAAGTCCCCAACACACAAATACATCCTGATGGCACTCATTCTTTTGCAGTCTTACTAAAATTTCTTTAGTGGAAAGAGGATAAAGGGATAAAGAAAAAGCTAGTCTTTTCAGTACTGCAGATAATAGTGAGAAGCTGATACATCCAATGGAAATCCGGAAATACTCTTTATAGCAGAAGTTCTACTCTTTATAGTAGAAGTTCACTCACTTCTACTCGTATATATCACAACATATAGTGGATACACTATGGCACATCAAATGCACCAAATTAGAATAGCTGGTAGAGTTCATCCTTACCAAACTCAGCCAAAAATTAAAGGTTGAATTAGTGTTAGAAATGATCTATGTAAAATAGAAAACAATTTAGGAAATATTTTTATATCCTAAGTACCCACGTAATCTATAAAGAAAGGCAAGGTGTGTATGTATATCTTGTACTGGCAGAAATGTTTTTAGATTTTTTGCACTCTTAATTGTGAAACACATAGGAGTTCTAAGTTTTAGAAAAAGGAGGAAAACTTAAATTTATAGGAAAATTTGAATTTATAATTTACATTATCCTTAAGTTGAAATTTTAATTTAGTAATAGTAATAATGTGATTACCAGACCACGTTTTGATCAATGTACATTACTATCTCATGCTCAACAATTTTATGAAATTGCTATTTTCTTCATGTTACAGATGAGAAAACCGAAGTCTAGAGAGGTTAAGTAATTTATTCTAGGTTACACAGCTCCTATGAAGTGGAACCAATATCCAACCCCAGTTTTGTTTTGATTCTAGAACTATAACTAATGAATGTCTCATAGGGCCTCTCCTTTAACAATTTTATATTATTTAATAACATTAATTTTGTACAAAACAGATTTTTTTGTTTATAAATAATGTGATAGAAATAATGTCTCATAATCTGTCGCTTATGGAGTTCACTCTTAACATTTGGAGGTATTTTGTCTTTTTTTATTTTTTCTTTTTCCTATTTATGTAAACTGTATGTTCTGAGGCACCAGGGCCTGCATGATAATTATGAAATTTCTTCAGTGATTATGTTTTTATCTAAAGAAGGCAACTTATCCTGATTTTTTATTGGGGGCTTTAAAGGCTTTGGCCTGGAGAGAAGAGAATGTCCTATAGTTGTGTGAAAGACGCCTGCAGTCTTCTCTCCTCTCAGGGCTTCTGGGGCATGCCTTGGCTGCCTGTCCGACGTCTGTTTCTGATAAGTGAGTTTTAAGTCTCTAACAGCTCTTGGGAATTTTGTTGGCAGAGACCTGGTGAGATCATTCTGCTTCCCGCTGGATTTCCTTTCTCTGTTTTTTGGGGCTGTTCTGATGAACACAGCCCCGGAGCATTCAGTAATACCTCTGTTCCCTTAGGAACTATTGGCCTACTCCCTGGTTTTATCTCTCTCTGCACAAAAGTTCCAAGTCTCTGGAAAGGAAAACAAAGTTGACATTAACAGAGGAACACAAATTACCGGAAGACGCAGCTGAGTTTGTCGGTTAGGTCAAGTCCTGGTGAGGCAGGCACTTACTTCTCTGCTCTTCATTGGCTGTCTCCTTCGTCCAAAACTAAAGACATCACCATAATATTTATTGGCTAAACTTGTAAATAAATTACAAAATAGGGTGTGCCAGAAAATGAGCAGGAAGGAAAAAAAAAACAGTAGAAAGTCAAGGAAGAAATATTTCATTATCTCCCATTTCTCAACTTTTCTGTCATTTGGATTGTTTAAGGCTATTCATATCAAATATTATTTCTTGTTGTATAGGTTACTATGGATACAACAGAAACAGTTCATAGATCTAAGAATTTATGATCATGTCCCAAATGTCTATTAGTTCCAACAAAAGGTTTTCTTATAATGAAATATAAAAGCAAACATCTGTAGTTGAAAAAAATCCAAATACTCACTATTACATTTCTAACTGGATTTATAACCTGATTTGCATCCCCCTGCCACACATGCACATTAAGAATATCAAAAATTGTTTATTAACTGCTTTGATATTATCTTAAGCAAATAATTTTAATTATTTAAATAAATTAAATTCTCAAACTCTGAGTCCAAATTATGACATCATTCCTTGCTTTTTACTATGCATGTGGTTGGGATTCTATCCTACTAACAACTAGGTTAGTTTGTTTAAATAACCTTTTAGAAAGATGGTTATGACTTCCAAAGGCTTTATATTCTACCATAAATCTATTCTGCTCTAATGTATTGTCATGAGCTGTCCATGAGTTGCATGTGGGTCACCGCCCATGGAAGCCTAGTGAAGGGAAACATCTGGTGTCTGGGAATGACCAGTGGACATTTTCTCTGGTCAATTGCTCAGGGACAGTGTGAATTTCTGTTCCACTCTGCCATGGCTCCCACGGCACCTGAGATGGGTGTGACGTGCTAAGATGTCAATCAACCTGCTGACTGCAAGACATCTCAAGGCAAAACTCCACCCTTGAAACCTTATCCTTGCCTTTAATGTACCCCCCTTAAATAAACCACTGGAGCCATCTTTTGTCTGTCTAGCTCCAGAACCCACGTGGACTAGATCAATCAGGGGCTTCACTATTGTAAATATATTTCTGAATATTTGTGTTTTGTTATTCATTAAGTATTAGACTTTTAAGTTTTAGGGTGGCTTACATTCTCCTCGGCAGGAAGAAGAACCCCCCAATGAGACGCTGGCCATCACACCGTTAATGTACTAAATAACTGATTCTAAATAAAGTCTTACCTTTCCCCGGATGGGCTCATTGGGAGTTTTCCTGGAATCATATTGGTGTATAAAAGACATGTATTCTGTAAATTTGTTTTGAAGTTCTGCTGATGCATCTGGAGAGGCAAGTGGAACTAAGAAAAAGAATAGAGTTTTTTGGGAAATCAAAAAAAATTAGATTTGTCTATAGAATTATAATCAGTATTCATAGTATCCAAGCTTTATAAAAATGCCCACAGAATGATATATTCTCTAAGTATGCAAGGTTACTTACCCATATCTACATAATAAATATAATGGATTCACCATGATTTTTCCATGAAAAGGACCAAAGCAAAACAACCAAATTTGCCCCACATGTGAAATTATTAATTTTTACATCTAATATTAGTACTAATACAGTTATATTTAAGAAACTATTGGCCTAAAAAATCTGTTAGATATGCTCTTTTACACAGATAGCAATAAGTTTTAGAGAAAACTTAAGTCTAACTTATTTGTCAAATTATTTTTTACTATTAGAAAGAGTATGAGAAATTTATGCTGAATCTGTAGTCGGGACCAAGTGGCTAAGGTGACACACAAGGAATTCCATACTCAAGTTCCTCCCAGCTATCTTCATGGAATGCACTGGAAGACCCTGGGGCTGTTGCACTTGTAGTTGAATACACAATCCTTTTTATTTCACCCAATGACAGAGATTCTGAATATTTGCAAGAGCAATAAGACTTTAGAAATCACTTTTAAGTATCTTTAAATCAAGGTGACGAGTATATATTCATTTTGAGGGTATCTACTTCACATATGTTTAATATTTTAAATACTTTTAAAACTCACTTTAGTTTTATTTTTAGCAGGCAAAGTTATTTAAAGAATCAGAGCAATTTCCAATGGCTGCTGACAATCACAAAAATTTAATGTAGTAATTCTGTCAAGGAAAAAATTAATCTTTTAGAAAATATGAACTAGTATAAAATATGAGCAGCAGCTTGGGCTGGAGGATAGGAAAGGTCATATTCTGTCAAAAGAGAATAGGCTGTGAGGAAGCATTTCTAAGAGTTTACATATATTAATCTATCTGTGGAATGATATATAAGAAACTGATATCAAAGACTACTATAGAAGGAAGACTTGGGTTACTGAAGGACAGAAGTGGAGAAAAGTAGATTCACTTTTCACTGTATATTCCTTTGTATTCTTTGAATTCTGTACTATATGCATATATAACTATGAAAAATAAAAATCTATTTTTAATCACATCTTTACATATGAAAGAATATTATATTAGTAAATTCACATTTATTAACCATTCATAAATTCAATTTGATATTCAAATATAGACATAAGTTAATTTTACTAGCATGAATGATGAGTATTCAAATATTTATACATCAAATGTATAAATACATTATATGATATGAATGGCAATTTTTCCCCAGTTAGCAGGAAAACAAAAGTTAACTGATAACATTTTCTTGATTTCTAATTGAAATCAGCTGCTCAAAACTAATTTTTTGTTTTGTTTGTTTGTTTTACTTGTTTTTTTTTTTTTTAACCTAGTCATTACCTTTCTTTTAGAACTTGCTGGCACACAAAGAACAGCAGGTGCTAAAAATTTAATAACTGCAACACTGAGAAAATCCTATCCATAATTCATATTGTTTTTCTGCAAATTGAGAAAGGACTACCATTTTTTTGAATGAATAACAAGTTTCAGCTTACAGAACATTAATGTTTTCTGGGGCCTAGTTTGATAACTTCTTGAATAAAATAAGGCAATTCTAAATTTAAGCATTAATTATATAAGGTTAATGGATTAAACCATTTTGGGGTTTAATTAAACCATTTTGGTTTTGATAGAAGATTGATATATTTTCAAATTCAGGCACCACTACATTTCCTACCCATGTGACTTTGGAAAAAATCACTTAACTTTATTGAGATTCAATTTCCTCTTCTCTAAAATGGGGATAATGAAATTTGTTTTCAGAATTGTGAGGATTAAGGACAACATTTATAAAGTCTCTAGGATGTTGGGGTCAAATTATGGAGGGTCTCAGCAAGGGCCCAGGTCTTTTCTATTCTGGGGAAAATCCAGAAGGGAAAGAAAAGCATGAATCAATGACCTACCAAAAAAAAAAAAAAAAAGACAAAACCAAAACAAAACAGACAAGACAGCTGTGAGAAACCCAAGGCTTCAGTAGATGGGTATGAAGGCTTTAGTGAACTGGTGTGACGGGTGAGCAGCAGCCAGAGGATAGAAAGGTTCAAATGCAGTCAAGAGAGAAAAGGTTGAGAGAGACCTTTTAAATTTGCTCCAGGCCTTGCCTCACATTGCCTTGGGAAGATCATGACTTGCCCCAGAGCCACAGAAACTGGCATTCACTGGTAAGCCATCCTGTGTCAACACAGTAACATCAGCCAGCACAGCAGTCCCCCCAGGATAAGAAACTGGTGGCAATGGGTGCATGCTGTCCCCTTGGGCTTCTCTGCTCAACTTTTCCTCCAGCAATTGTCAGCATTGGTGGATGTGAAACACCAAGAGAGTGCCTTCCCTCAGTGATGCCTTTTTCAAAGAGTTTAAGGGTAGCAGGAGTGGATTCCTGACTTTAGGACTGGCCTAGTAGAGTGACGGCAACTGGTGATGGCCAAAACTGATTTTGTAATGTCTGAAGCTCTACAGCCTAGGCCTCGTTTTCTTTCCTTAAATTCCTGGGAGGTATGCAAACCAGTTCCTGGTCTTAACCATTTGTCCACACAAGGCCACTGATCGCCTTTGGGGAGCATGATCTATGATAAATTACATACCCTGGAACAGAAAGAAAAGTTTAACAGATACCATGGGAAGCAGAATATTAGAAGCAATACATCAATAATTAAAAGAAGCGTAACAGATAACTTCGAATATACATAGACGTTGTCAGTAATGTGAGGCAAGAGTAAAGATCATTGAAAAATCATGCAAAATGTTAGAAATGAAAATAGAGACACCTCCACCAGCGGGGTAGACACCTGCCAGAGCCTCGCCTCTGGCACAGGACCGCCTCTTCTGACCAGCAGACTACCTAGGGAGGTCAAACCCTGTGGTCCAGGTCCACCCACACCCACCAGAGCCCACCTTCCAGCACAGGTCCACCTCTTCAGAACAGAAGACTACTTCGGGAGTCAGGCCCCACCCACATCTCTCCACACCGACTTGGGCAGGAACCATGTCCAGGGTAGGTCGGAGTTCAACCCCCTCCCAGCTGGGAGATTAAGCATAATCCACTTCCATCTCGAGACACTGCAGTCATCGACGTAGCCCTCCCCACCCCACACAGTAGCCCCTAACTTTTTGACAACAGACAGGGTCTACAAGCTGCTGCATCTCAGAGCGGGCATCCCAAAAGGAGTGTGAGGCCCACTCTTACAGCCCCATTTCTGTAAGACATTGCTTACATCTTGGGCACCTTAACTATTATCTCGAGTTACCTCTGCTATTGCCACCACCAACCTTAGATGCAGTAGCATACACTGAGGGACACCAGCAGGGTCTGGAAGCCCAATATCAAGGTGGGGTACAGACAATCTGCATGGGTACTACAAGAATATAGGGAAGAACTGTAATATCTCAGATCCACACTGCAAGAAAGGAAGACACATAGACAAGATGAAAAAACAAGAGAGGAAAGTGCCCCAAACAAACCAGGACACTATAATAACAGAATCCATGAAGTTGATGAAGTACCAAAGAAGGAGAATTAAAATGATCTATGAATTAAAGAATTACTTAAATAAGCAAATACAGGCAAAAATTGATCACTCCAACAAAGAGATAAGAGAGCAATCACAGGTAGCAAAAGATACTTCAAGAGAGAGATAGAGACTCTGAAAAAAAAAACAGTCAGAAATCCTTGAGATGAAGGATACAATAAATCAAATTAAAAACTCAATAGAAAGCATAACCAACAGAGTAGATCACTTGGAAGAAAGAACATCCGAAAATGAAGGCAAAGTATACAATCTGGAAAATAAAGCAGATCTCACAATGAAGATAGTAAGAAACCATGAACAGAACTACAAGAATTATGGGACAACATCAAAAGACCAAATTTAGGAGTTACTGGGGTAGAGAAAGGCACAGAGTTTCAAACCAAAGGAATGCACAATTTCTTTAATGAGATAATATCAGAAAATTTCCCAAGCATGAAGAATTAATTGGAAAACCAAATACAAGAAGATTACAGGACAACAAATGTACAAAATTACAACAGATCTATACCAAGGCACATTATAATGAAAATGCCTAGCATACAGAATAAAGATAGAATTTTAAAAGCCGCAAGAGAGAGGAATCAGATCACATATAGGGGGAGACCAACTTGTATCTCAGCATATTTTTCAACCCAGATCCTCAAAGCCAGGAGATAGTGGAAAACATATACCAAGCTCTGAAAGAAAATGGATATCAACCAAGAATCTTATATCCAGAAAAACTAAGCTTTAGATTTGATGATGAAACAAAAACCTTCTATGATAAACAAAAATTAAAAGAATTTACAACTAGAAAGCCTGCTCTACAGAATATCCTCAGCAAAATATTCCAAGAAGAGGAAATGAAAATCAATGGTGAAAATCAGCAGAGGAAGGTATTACACTAAAGTAAAATCTAATCAGAGGAGAAACCAAGTCACATTAAATACCAAAAATAAACAAAACTGGCTGGGAATACAAATCATGTCTCAATTATAACCCTGAATGTTAATGACCTAAACTCACCAATCAAAAGACATAGTCTAGCAGATTGGATTAAAAAAAAAAAAAAGACCCAACAATATGCTGCCTCCAAGAGACTCATCTAATAGGAAAAGACATCCACAGACTGAAGGTGGAGGGTTAGGAAAAATCATACCACTCACATGGACTGTGGAAGCAAGCAAAGGTTTCCACCTTCTTATCAAATAAAGTAAACTTCAAACTAAAGTCAATCAAAAAGGATAACGAAGGACACTATATACTGCTCAAGGGAACTGTACACCAACAAGACTTAACAATTATAAATATATTTGCCCCAGAAAGGAGCCTCTTCGCTCATCAAACAAACTCTGCTCAAGTTCAAAAGTCAAATAGACCACAATACAATAATTTGGGGTGA